GAGCCGTAATGTTTGAAAGCCAAGCCGCTCAGCCTGTCAGGCTTAAATACCCACAGCCTTGACGACACACAGATGGTAAAAACCTTTCACGCGCAAAATTGTGTTTCTGCCAGCTCCAAAACTTGCCTTCCTATCAAGTCAACACTCAATCGAGCAACATGCGTTGGCTCACAGATCCCGCGCTGGCGGGTGGACAGCTGAGCAAGTTTGTCAGAACTTGGCCTAGACCAATAGACCAATCCATGTCTGTATGTAGCCGCATGTGTGCTCAGGCCAGAAAAAGAAAAAGGCGTCTCCTCTCTAGGACTTAGCACTTGGGCCACTTGGGGGGCCGGCAAACTCGCGAAAGCGCCACTTGTGCTCAAGGTCATGAAAGTTCATTGGAATCCCAAAGAATGATTGGTTACCCCAAAATAGGTTTTGGCTCTATTATTTTTGCGTAGTGTTTAATATTTGAAGATTTGCGTAGTGTTCTGGCATGCAATTTCGTGCGCTTTCTTGCGCTTCCGCTCGCCCCGTTTCGGTACGAGAAGACAAAGGCTCGGGGGGCCTCAACGAGCAAGTTTCATGGGCTGTAAGCACACTTGGACTACTGTGCGTTGCTTCCAGAAGGCTTTTCCCAGCTTTGTTTGGGTGTTTGTCGGGGGCACTGGGCGCTTATGTTTCCCAAGCAACTTCGTGCGTTTTCGTGCGTTCTCGTCATTGGGTAAAAAAGGCTTCTTCTTTTTACGCAAAAAAACACTAACTGAAGCTTTTGTGGCCATTTGTGGCAATTTGTGACTTTGATTTGGGCTGATCGTTTGTCCAGGGCCACGATCGGCCAGGCTATCATGCTTCAGCTTTCACCCTGTGCGATGGCAAATGTAGGCGCTAAGCGCGGTGTTGCGCTCCTGAGGCTATCTGCTGCCTTTTCTGCTGCTTTCCTTAAGGGCCTTTGCGTGATCCAAATGCTCCTGTGTGTTTTACTCTTGTCACCTGTCCAAGCTGCTTTGGGTAGTTTTGATCTTAAAATCGCACAAAGTTCGCCTATTTGTTGGTGTGTCTCTCAGACTAACTTTCTGGTATTGTGACACAGAACACAGGAAACCATGAACGAAGCAGAACTTAATAGAAACCTCCCTGGGCACACCTAGTCACTGATTTGCGCGTGGCAAACACAAACTCTGTCAGCTCACGTAGGCAAAGTTCAGTAGCGGCCTTCATGTGTGGCGCAGTCCTTGTTTACATCTGACACATCTGCTTGCTTGAACTTGTTGCTGCCCAATGTCCTTGTAGAAGTGTGCTATCGAACCAGTTTGCTTTTGAAAGCACATTGCTGGCAAGTCTATTTTTCTATTTTGAAGGTGTTCAAGTGAGTTTTGTTTTTGCAAATGGCCCTTTGGAACTGGAAAACGAAAGGGCTGGGAAAGGACAATTGAAAGCTACCTTTGGTGGTGCTTGTGTTCGTGTTCGTGATGTGGTTGTGGTCGTTGTGGTGGTTATTTGGTCGTTTTTGCTGGAGGTAGGCACTCAGATCGGCAGGCTCTTGCTTCTTTAATACTGGCCAGGTGCTCGCTCTTCGATGATCTATGTACAAACTTGCCCATCGGCAGCGGAGCTGAGCACATTCGGTTCGACTTGGATGTGATTGTCACGAGCACCCTCCAAAGCGGAACGCTCTCCAAAGAAAATTGCATGATCACGCATGTAGATAATGCCCATCAAATGGTACCCAAACAGATCAACATGCGTTTGTCAGAATTGAGCAGGTTCGCTGACTGGCTTGCAGAGCCAATCATGATAGCGCTCTCACAAAGAGAAATATTTGTGTTCAAAAACTGAGTCGGCGACCGAGGCTAGGATCACTGGAGAGTTCACTCCGAGTCAGAGTACTATACTGCGCTCTGAGAGCACTGAAGGACCAAAATGAACGCTGAGAGCTTCAGACGAGAAGAAAACAACCATTTTTTCCGCAAGAAAGTGAGGTGTTTTGTTCATTGCGTGTGAAGTGTACATCAACGCTGCAACCCTGCACAGATTGTGAGGAGCTTATTCGATTGGCGCAGCGAGGAGGCCGAGCTCGAAATGTATCGTTGCTCGATTCGCGTGCGAACTGAGGCATAGCAGTGGCTTGCTGACCTCCACGTGTCTCGACAGAGGTTTAGGAAGTTTAGGACGGGCTTGTTGGTTCCATGCAGCTTTTCTGGAGAAGAGTTGCTTCTAAGTGCCCCTTTGTCAGGGCCACGTTCTCGTACCTGCAAAATACCTCAGAAGGCAATCGCTCGGACACGTCTGCGCCCTGAGTCTCACGGCCGTTGTCTGAGGACCGATGGCAAGCTGTCCTTGGATAGCTTCGAGGACGCCACCTGGATGCACTACGACCTAAAAGACCAAGGTACATCGGCATGATATGGCTGTGGGTCAAAACCAATGGTACCCTTCGTGAAGATCAAAATAGGTGGTGCATAGGTGTTCATCCGCCCCAAAATGGAGGCGTAGGTTATGACCCATGGCCATATGAACAAACACATACGTATCTAATATCATACAAGAGAACGCGACTGACTGGTGGCTGGCATATCTTCATGAGTCGAAAATTGTGTTGGCAGTTTTGCCGTGCGGATGTGGCCCAGGAGATTGACAGCCAGCCAGGGCCGAGCTTCAAGATTGGCTGCCGCCGGAAGGCATGGGAGAACGCTGCGCTTGGAAGCGTTGGACAGGGGCTTGACACACATATGTTGCCAGTCGTGAAGTGGCGGAAAGGACAGGACATGTGCAAGTAGTGCGATCAGGCAGTGTGGACGCGGACAGCCTATTTGCAAATCCAACAGCCATCAAATGTGATGGCAAAGCGAGATGCATTTAAGCCAGCCACAACTGGAAACTACAAGGCGTGGAACAAGTACTGACCATTTGCAAGTCAGCTCGCCACAGAAAGCGGAATCAAGTACAGGAACTTGAAAGCAAGCTAGCATAAAGTGTACAAAGATGAAGAGACAGTAGGCCAACTAAGCCTCGCAGCTAAAAACCCGCACTTGAATGTAGGCCAACCACAATGAAAAGACCGTGGCAATATGCAGGAACTTTAAAAGCAGGCCAGTCGTAAATGCATTTGCAAGAGTGCACTAAAAGCATGTGGCAAAATGAAGGAACTCCAGTCGGCCAAACAAAGCGTGTTGCAAACTAGAGCACATTTGCAAGGCCAACCAGAACTAAAGGCATGGGGAAACATCCAGGACATTTAAAAGTAGGCCAACTACAACTTGAGGCAAAGCGCTGGACATTTGCAAGTAGGTCAGCCAAAAGCATGTGGCCAAAACCCGCACACTTGCAAGCAGGCCATCCACAAGATACAGGAATCATGCTATTCTCGTGTAAAAGGTTGAATGACTTCATCCGAGCACATAGATTTTGCCGCTGGATCGCGGGTCAGGCCATGGGGCTCTTGTGAGACAGTGACCTGGCGGGAATCTGAAGGCTGACCTCCTTCGCCTGGTATGCGGGGAATCTTCCGTGCGGGGGGGGGGGGGATCATTTTGCTGGTTTGATCCATAAAAACCGTAGTGCGGATATCCTCGCTTTGGATTCTTTGCGTTGTTGTGGGTAGACCTCTGTAGTACCAGGTGTCGATCATGCCGCACTCACAGGTCGAACGTGTGCCCTCTTCGCCTTTTTACCATTTGTCTTTCTTTGCAGGTCCTTTGTCTCAAAGTTTTCACTGACAAGCGACCACTCAAAAAGTCCCAGTTTCGCTTGTGGACTTGGTCACCTTGCTGGTACTTTCCCGCAAGATCAGCACAGCGAGCCTGGAGCCAGGAGTCTTTTGTGCCCGTAAGGTACCATGGCTCTCTTGGTGAGCAAGCGTTTGGCGCTGCGTCAACCGCTTTCCGCCTCCGTAAAGCAGCCAAGCACAGCTTTCCACGGTGTGATACGGTTTGCCTGCCTGAAGCTGCTAGGCAAAGTTGGTTCAACAAATGCACAGGGTGGGACAGGGCCAGTTCAGGAGTTTCACGCGCTTCCAGGCATCTGGCGGAGCCAGATGGGCGTAGAGCAACACCTGGAGGCGATATGATTCAAGAAGTCAACAAAAGTGACATGAACTGTTTGTGGCTCCAACCTTGAGATGCCGGTGTGGCTTGCTCTGCTATGCTGCACCTTTTCAAGCGCTCGGACACAGGGGCAGACAACACACCTCGTGGACGATCGCCACGCAGCACTCGTTTGAAGGGTGGCAAAAGCAATCTCACGGCATGTGAACAGTTTCTCGATTGCTTTTGCGCTTGATGTCTAGGCCGAATTCTTGCGGAACGCACTGGAGCGAGCGAGAATTGTGCCCAAGACTCTCATACCAAGTGCTTGCTATAAATATTTCGGTACAGAGAGAGTTGTCGTACACCTTTCTATGCCTCTTTGGGGGCATAGCCCACGGGGGAGATGTGCTGGGTGTTGTTGAAATGCAAGTTCTTTCGCTAAGCGGCCATCCTCCAAGATGGTACCTCCCCTCCCCTGGGGCTGGTGATCCGAAACCAAACCAATTGTAAAGTACTCGCTTGATTAGTTTCCAGAGCACTGAAGATGGCAGAGCCGTGAGCTGCCCTGCCTCCTGGACTGCCGAGGTGTGCCAGACCAGGCTTCTCCTGCCAAAAGGGCCAGAAGCAGCGCCGCCGTTTGGATTCATTGTCACTGGCTGGTATGAGACATGTCATAGGGTACGCCGACGAATTGCCCAAGCTGAGTAATTAAAGTTGGAACATTGCTCAAAGGCTTCCTCACAGCACTCCGAGACAGGCCAATCTCCCTAAGTCATCCACATGGAAGCATGAGCACATTTCCGGTGATACTTTGGCGTGGAGTTGGATGTGAAGGCAAGCGAAATTGCAGGTTCAGGAGCACAAAGGGAAGAGTGAAGTCAAAACTGAGCTTTCACGACAGCTCTACGGCTGAGGCAAGACAAAGCGTGAGTTGCAGCGGCTCCTTTTATGTTTAGAGCTTCAAGCAGGCAGTGTCTCAGAGTTGTTCTTTGGTTCCTGGCAAGGAGTCGACGTTTGCAGGTTGCCATGGATCTGCTCTCTGCAGCTGCCGCCTTTGCGCAGTTTGAAGGGCACTGCTTGGCACAGCTCCTGGCTGAGGGCGTGGAGCCTGAAGACGCCCAGGCCGCTGCGCTTCAGCAATGGGAGGCCATGGCTCCGGAGGCGCGGCTTCGGTGGGACCAGCGACCGGCAGCGGGAGACGAGGAGGCCGTTGAGGTCGAGGTGGAAGACGTGGAGAGGACGGAAGAGGCGTGCGCCCGTGCCCCCACGCCTTCGCGCCGGAGGGAGGCGGACGTTTCAGGTCGCCCGACCAAGAAGCAGAGGACGAGCGCGAGGGATGCCTGGCTGAGACCTGCACAGGCAACGGCTTTGCGAGAGTCCAGTGAAGGGGCTGAAGAGGATTCCGAGGACGAGTCTGAGCAGCGATCTTTCAAGATATCTGAAGCCGTACAGGGCGGGCGGCATCCTGATTGGCTGACGGAGCCTGCAGCAGTGGCCGAAATCTCTCTTCCAAAGTTGTCCGAAGACGAGGTAATATACATTCCAGCAGAGGTTGCGGAGAAAGAGCTGCTCAGCAGCCCTCAGCTGGAGAGCGTGGCATACGCGGCTCGACGGTTTCGCGGGCACCTGCCGTCTGGCGTGCGAGCTGGCTACTACCTTGGGGACGGAACTGGCTGTGGCAAGGGTCGCGTCATCGCAGCCTTGATTTGGCATCTGTGGAACGGGGGCGCCAAGAGGCACGTCTGGCTGAGCGCGAGCAATGATCTGCTGGCCGACGCCAGCCGGGACTTCCGGGACTTGGCTGCCGAGCTGCCTCTGTGCAGTCTGTCCTCTATGCCCTACGGCCCCGTGTCCGGCGCTGGCCTGGACGACAGCGGCAACGGGGTGATCTTCGCCAGCTACCAGCTGCTGGTGGCCAGCAAAAGTGCCTCTGCCGCGCCCACGCCCGAGACCTCGCGCCTGGGCCAGCTGATCCATTGGCTGCGCAAGGGGCCCGGCGGCGCCTGTGGCCTCATCGCGCTGGATGAGGCGCACCGGACCAAGAATGTGTCCAGCGGCACGAGCACCGGCTCCAAGGCGGGCGAGGGCTCCGGCCAAAAGAATCTGTGTCCTTTTGTTTAGTTTCCCTTGAAACTTCTTGCAAAGGGGGGGAGGGCGTATTGTAGGACACCCCCATTTGGAGAACAGCCTGTTTCGGATAGCCTGAACAGAAAGCAACTCTTCCAACCAGGAGCTTTTCGCTTCTCTTTGCGACAGACTCAACTGACCCTTCTGCCCTTTAACTTTTTTCCCCTTTCTCAACCAACATGGGCATGGGTCAAAATGTCACCACCATGGGACAGCAGGTTTCAGTCCATGTTTCCACTTGCCAAGCCATTTTGGGTACATCTTTCCACTTCCCATGGTTCCATGTGGGTTCCACGTGTTCGATTGACCCATGGTGCCACATGTCCGTTGCGTCTCTTAAGAGTCGGACGGGGGAACCGAGGCGGGCAGCTGCTCCCTGGAGCTGCAGCGGGCGCTGCCCTCCATGGCGGTGCTCTACGCGAGCGCCACCGGGGCCACGGAGCTCAGGCGGGACGAGAGTCGGGGGGGGGGGGGATGCCTCAACTGGGGATCAAACTCATCCAGCCAATACATACATCTATATTAATATATATATATACACATGTATATATATATATATATGTATATGTATATGTATATATATATGTATATATTTATATATATATATACATATGTATATATATATATGTTTGTAGACATGTTAATTACACACAGAGGCATGAATCTTTAGTGGTTGGACCCCTTGGGTGGACATTGGCATGTGCAACCACCCACCACAAGGCTGTTTCCCAAAAACCACATGGTGCAGCGAAACCCTTGGGATGCTGACAAAGAAGCCAAAGAAGCCAAAGAAGCAACAAGCTCTTGGAGTGGTTCTTGAAACGTTTCTCTTAGAGTAGCTCTTGGACTCTGGACAATTTTCGACAGTAGCTCTTGGAGTAGTTCTTGGATTTTCTGGTTGAACTCGGAACTCGGAAGTAGCACACTGCTCGGCCTGTGAGGCACCTGGGCTACTTGGAGCGGCTGGGCCTTTGGGGCAAGGGCCGGCCCCACGCCACCTTTGAGGAACGAAGAAATGGGGATGAATTTTCATAGGGAGCCACCTGAAAAGTGATTGGTGGACATGAATCCCCACCGAAGTTTGATGCGCACCAAAGGGGAAGGCCTGATTAAGATTCATAGCCAAATGGGGAAGATGTGGGAAGAGGGGAAGACCAGCTGGAAGTTCCGGAGCGTCGCCGTTTGTAACTTTGGGACCGCTCTGCCATCCCCAAACCAACTTCCCTTGCTTTCCCAGGAGCTGCGGGATGCTGTGGAGGGAGGCGGCTTCGCTGCCATGGAGTTGTTGGCCATGACAATGCGCGCAGAGGGCATGCTGTCCTGCCGGTCTCTGTCCTTCAAGGGTGCCTCCTTCCGCCTGGTGCCGGTCACGCTAAAGGACTGAGGTCAGGCAGTCAGGTGCGGGCAGGTGGTCAGGCGGTCACCAGCGCCCATCGGAGCATGCACAGTTGGGGGGGGAGCTTGCACAGGGAAAGATGAGCAGCCAAGCACAGCGTGCCTTGGCCAGGAGGAGAATGCCTATTCGGCCAGCTGCAAGTTCTGGCAGGATTGCTTCCAGTTGATCTTGCGCTTGCTGAAGATAAGGACGCGGGAGGTCAAGCAGAAGAAGCTGAAGCATTCCACTGAGCTCAAGGACTAAGTTTACACCATTTGGCTGGAAGGTGACAATCATTGTAAGTGCTGCCGGCAAGGCTGGACATGGCAGGAACAAGTACCATCAACCGACCCAGAGCAGCATGGAATCATGCTGAACACTGACAACAAACCACTGCGCTGTTAGTGCTTGCCAAGCTGATAGCGGTGGTTGCAGCGCTGGCAAGAGTGGTGATGCTGATGCGACTGCTGCTGATGATGACAATGATGACGATAGCGACGACGACGGTGACGATGATAATGACGATGACGATGACGATGATGATGATGGCGGTGATGATGATGATGATGATGATGATGATGATGATGATGATGATGATGATGATGATGATGATGATGATGATGATGATGAAGATCGTGATGATGTGGTGGTCTTCTTTGTAGCCACCACGGCTGCCGCCAAACACCGCTGCCAAACCCGACCAATAAATACATGTCACCTCTCCTGTTGTGTTCGTTTTGCTTCACACTGTAGTGCCATCATACGCTACATCCATTTGTCCCCAACTGCCACTTTCTGACTTGTGAGACCATGACTGCCGGCCCCAGCCCAGCCCCAACCTTCACCAAGAATGGCAACAGCGGAAGTCTGAGCATGATTCCATCCCCAAAAGACGATTAGACGCTTGTTGTGGGATCAACCGACTCCTCTGCTTGCTCCAATCATGAACCCTGTGAAGGACAACTCCCTGCACATGAGACATTTCTGGAGTGCGCAGCAGCAGTTCTTTCGGCAGCTGCTGATCTGCGCCAAAGTGGACACCGCCGTTTCGCTGGCCACTTCCGCTATACTCAGGCAAATGATCCCTGATGTTGAGCGAGGTTCAGGGGACAGTCAAAAGCTCAGCCACCCTTTGTACATGGTTTGGGTAAACCGATGACCCTTTCAGTACCAGGTTTTGATTGTGACTCACGGGCAGAAGTGCGGAACCGGGTGAGAGGCTGCCAAATCGAGGATGCATTTTGGACACTTGCTGACCCTAAGCATGGTCCAACAAAAAGAAGTGTTTTTCGAGCAAGAGCCACAAGCTATCCAGCTCCAGCGGGCACATCTCAAGGCTTTTCCCACTTGCCACGCGTTGCGGCCAGGGGCGAGTCTGTGGTCATTGCTATGTGGTCCACTGGCGAATCCATGACGGAAGCCCTGGCGGGCCGGGAGGGCGATCGGAAAGCGGCTGCTGCTGGCTTTGCCTCCGCACCAAAAGAGGCTGGGCCTACTGTGGGGGGATTCAACTTGTACCCGGACCGTTGGGAATCTGCCCGTGGAACAAAGTCGCGTTTCCCTCCGACAGGTTTTGAGTGACGTCTGGCAAGACGCCATGCGCGGTCCCTCACTGTCCTCTCTGACGGCTTGACATGTGCAGCAATCCACGATCATGATAGCGTTTTACACAACCAGCTGTGGACAGAAGACTCCAAAAGCGACAGCTGTGACACATGAACATGGTCGTGCCCCCCTAGTGGCGCAACGCTCAAAAGGCTCCTGCTGGTTCCCTTACCAGGCTCCTGACGCTCGATAGCTGTGACCGGCCACACTCTCTGTGTGCCCAACAGGCGCAACCAGATGGCTGTGGCGGACCGAATTGGGTGGTAGAGCAGACTGACACTCGACACAGACAGCTGTGACAGACATTGTTGCTTGAGGCAGCTAGCCGTGACAGACCGCAATGCCAGACAGACCGGAGTCTGCGAATGCGTGGCGCCCTGACGAACTCTGTCTGTTGGGTTTCCTACAGCAAACGCAAGCTGCTGCGTGATGCCGAGCTGTGGCAGACCAGACCCTATAGCCCAGCCCAGTAGGGAGGAACGTTTGGTCAATCAAGTCCAGGGACTGCAAGCGACGGCTGTTTCGCGGCATGCGGCTTGTCCACAGGTGGCGCTCCGCATGCTCAACGGCCTCAGGACGTACTTTGGCCTGGGCCAACCTTCTTGCAACGTGTGGATCTCGGCGCTTTGCCGATAGCCTACCCTTGCGTGGGCCGTCTGCGTTTGCATTTGCCAGTGTTTTGCAAAACCTGTCGCGTGAATTGCAGGACGGTGGCCAACTCCCTGGCCTCCGGACAATCTGCGCTGCAGGACGGCCTGGGTCGATTCCTGGAGGGCGCGCCCAGCTTGAGCGCACACGCACAGGAGATTGATAAAGTCGAGAAGGAGTTGGAGAAGCGTCTTGACTGACGACGAGTGGATCTTGATCTGTGGCAGAGCAGTTG